TATATATATATATATATATATATATATATATCTCAAAAATTAGCCGGACGTGCTGGTGGGCACCTGTAATCTCAGCTACTCCAGAGGTTGAAGCAGGAAAATCGCTTGAACCCGGGAGGTGGAGGTTTCAGTGAGCCAAGATCACACCACTGCAGCACTCAAACCTGGGCAGCAAGAGCAAAACTGTCTCAAAAAAAAAAAAAAAAAAAAAAAAAAGTTGAAGTTTTAAAGAAACTCCGTAACTTCCATGTAAAAAGTGATCACATGTCACCTAATACAACGCTCCCCTAGGTATCTGGAACATATAACATGCTGCCACAGTCTATCCCACTGGTCACTCAGCAACTACTAACAGAACCTAAATCCAAACTTCATGCGCAGTGTAACAGGTACACTAAAAATGTCTTCAATCTCACAAACTTCCTTTCCAAATTGATTCTGAAATGCTTTTATTTCCCTGCAAGTATTACATATACAAAAATACCAGCAATAATCAGAAAAAAACTTGAGAACAAATTCTTCTGAAGTCAGCAATCTTTGCTTAAAACACACACACAAACACACACAAACACACACACAAATATGTGGAATGCATATAATATTTGAGCTACCAATTCAGGCTCATAACACTCATAATAAAAAAAATTCTTCAGGAGGCTGAGGCAGGAGAATTGCCTGAACCCAGGAGGCAGAGGTTGCGGTGAGCCGAGATCGCGCCATTGCACTCCAGCCTGGGTAACAAGAGCAAAACTCCGTCTCAAAAAAAAAAAAAATCTTAAATATTGACAATATCTAAATGCTCTCTAATACTACTGAAATGAGAAAACTAGAGCAAACATTTATGAACGTGCTTGTACAATGCTGGCATGAGTTTTGTCAGCCAAACTCCTCCCTTAGGGAAGCATATGAAGAATAATTTCTTCTTTGTAAGTAACACTGCCAAAGCTGGAAAATTACAAAGTCCCAGAATTATACAGAGGACTAGTTTTTCCTAAAAATTTTTCCTCTGTGGCATTTATCTGTAAGAAATGTTTTATAGGAAGAATGCCCCAAAGTCTTACCTAATAAATTTTCTGAACCAAATAAATGTGCTAGAACAAAGGCAGTGTGATATGTCACAAGAAAACTGTGAGAATTCTAGAATCCTTCTCAAAGAAGCCAACATGTCACATTTAGAACTTACCCTTGCACCAAGTGACCACAATAAAAACAAACAAAAAAAAAACTCTTAAGAAGACAAAAGGAAAAAGGCTAAGAAACCAAGCAATAAATACTCTCCTGGAACAAGAAAACTTCTCTGAGTCAAATCCAAACCAATACACCCCTGACTTGTGTCACAAACTCTTTGGTATTCTGCCCCAAAAGACTTCAAGACAACTGAATATCCTATCAACATTCTTTTTCCACAACCACATGACTTAAATATTCCTGAAACACAATTCAAGATATAGAGTTCAGCGGGCAGATGAAGACAACAACCAGGAACAAGAACAAAGTAGACAAGAACATACCAGAGGAAAAAGTGCAGGATCCTACACAAGCAAAGCTCAGCTCCAACTCTAACGTAGATTTCCAGAATACTCGGTATCACAAAATGAAATAGCAAGTCACTCGCAATATTGTCGGAAACTTGAATCACCTCTGCCCACCACACAGTTCCACCCCAAAACCTGATCTTCTATGCTCCGCACATTGTCAGCGGCACTGCGTCCACTTAGTACTTCATTCTCCAAGCTAGAAGGCTACATTATGATCCTTCAGTGCTCCCATGTCTCAGCCACACATCCAGTATCAAGTTCTAAATGTTCAGACTCCTCAATGTTGTCAAAAAAGTTTCACCTCCTTAATAAGCCATCGAAAGCTTTACATCTGTTATCTTTTTCCAGACTCTTTTACCACCAGCCTTGGTAGCATACATTCCAAACTCTACAGCACCAAATATGCCATATAGCTTTGACTCTTCCAGTTATGTCTTTCCAGATGGAAGGATGAACACAGCAACATCCTGACTGTCAAAAGGCTATTAAATTCCCCAAGCCCAGCTACAATGCCCTCCACCTCCACTAGGAAGCCTTCTGGGATTCTCCAATTCAAGTTAGAAATAATCTACTACCTGCCGAAATTCTATTTCATTACAATAATTTCTATATAATTCCTTGCTGAGTCAAACAACAACGCCACTCTCAAACTTCAAATACCATTATAGGACAGCACTAAACAAGGTCACTTTCTGAGAGCAAAAAACCTTATCAGTTCAATACTAGGAGGTGGCTTTCATTTGCAGACACAATGGGATAAATACTATTGCTTATTTAAAAGTTATATTACATAGAATTTTAAAAACTAAGCCAGAGAACATTTTCATGATTAAGGTATTTTACTACATAAGAAATAAAGTATTACTAATGACCTAAATTGATATGAAAAATTAGTCAAGATTACTCCGCTATTATGTCACTTATAAAAAGCTGCAATAGCCATATAGTCCTTATTATCAGATACTCTAGTTATTGATAAACAAAATTCTGGTAAACTAGTCAACATACCTCAAAAAATGAAAAACAAAATCTCTCCACAAAATAAAATGACAGTTCTCAGTCAGCTATCCCTCAAATACATCTCTTTAGTGCAATAAAAAACTGGGCTCAAGAATAGATACCTTATTTCAACAGACTCATTTTCCAGAAGATGAAATATTCAGGCAGTAACTCTTACCAAAAAGATAAGCACTACTGCTCTTAGCATACGGCGTAGAGACAAAGAGGAAGCTACTTATGAAGGAATCAACTGACAAACTTCACAAATTAAACCTGCCATAAGTAGTTCCTTATCTAACAGTTGAAATGTCAGTTATCCACTGCAGCTGAAAACATAATAGAGCCTCACTACAATGTTCCTCTACAGAACAAAACTCATTAGAGATCAGTTCATTTTAGATACCTCTCCCCCAAAATCAAGATAATTTAAACACCTAAGAAGTCAATTAAAAGGCTATACTCTCATGGCTAACATGGTGAAATCTTGTTTCTACTAAAAATACAAAAAATTAGCCAGGCATGGTGGCGCAAGCCTGTAATCCCAGCTACTGGGAGGTTGAGGCAAGAGAATCGCTCGAATTCGAGAGGTGGAGGTTGCAGTGAGCCGAGCTCGCGCCACTGCACTCCAGCATGGACAACAAGAGTGAAACTCCATCTCAACAAAAAAAAGGCTATACTCATGAAATGTGATTGCTTACATTTATCATCTAGATTAGCAGTTTATTAGTCTAACATGGCTTCATATTATTTATTAATTTTAAAAATGAGATGGAAGGTATTTATTATAAATAAAAGGTCAGACATCCTCTACTAATAAATTAAATTAGCAATGAAGGAAAAAAGGTAGAAGTTTTAACTATTAGCATATCCAAAAGAAAGTTGGAATATTCACTAGCAACCAGTAAATTCTTATTCATAATGAATCACCACTTCCTGTCTTACAGATGGAATTCTATGAAACATCTGTATTGGATAGCTACAAGTATTTGTTCTACATACTGCTGCCTTCAGAAAACAGTAGTAGAAGGCATTTTCTTCTCCCTAACTGTTCAAGTTTGTATATGGTGCTTTAAGGAAAGTCAACCTGGCTGTCCCAGGGGATTTTTGGCCAGTGACCCTACTCTTCAGGAGATGAAAGCAAACATGGAGGAGGGCAAGGCCCAAGGGAATGGTTAAGTAGGAATTCTGCCCATGAGATACAGACCAGCTGTACAGGGGCAAACTGACCCTAGGAGAGGCAAACTGAGGGAATAAATGCTAGATTAACACAAAGACTGTCACCTAAGTTCTAGTTCCTACCCAAACTGATTAAGTTTAACTACCTGTTTACCCTCGATCATGTCTGCTGTAGGTCCTGGTCTCAGAAACACCAAGACTTAAAGTGACTAAGCTTTTATTTTAAAAGCATCAATTCATAACTTAGGGAAGTTCAAAACCTGTTTAAACTCTAGAAGACTACAGTGAAGGATATTAGTCATTTCAGTTTTCTCTACCAAAATGATTACTTCTAATCCCAGTAATAAAATACTATTTCACTTTCAACCACAAAAAAAAATTCCCTATCAACTGGCCCCCTAGATACACATTCCTGAACCAACTGTGATCACACCTTTAACTTCTTCTACCCACTATTTAAATAAACTCTGAAAAAATCCCTGAAGAAACATACTAATTAAATGAAAATCAAAAACATGAATTGTATTTTTCCGGTTCACATAAGAACATTTCATCACTTAAAAATTAAAATAACAACAAAAAAGAACAATTCATCACTTAAACTATGTCTTGGCCTCCTTTCATTTCAATTAAACTATTTAAAGCAATTTTTAAGCCTAACTCCATCTTAGTAATTTTCATGTTTCTATTAGAAGTTTCTATCATCAGCCGGGCACGGTGGCTCACTCCTGTAATCCCAGCACTTTGGGAGGCCGAGGCATGTGAATCACGAAGTCAGGAGTTCAAGGCCAGTCTGACCAAGGTGGTGAAACCCTGTCTCTACTAAATATACAAAACTTAGCCAGGTGTGGTGGTGTGCACCTGTAGTCCCAGCTACTCAGGAGGCTGAGGGAGGAGAATCGCTTGAACTTGGAAGCCAGAGG